TCTAGGACAAGAAATCAATTTCAGACTGGAAATGTGAGCAGAAGGCTGTTCAGTCCAAACTGCAGCTCCTTTAAAGCAACCACAGATAAATTGCTGTAGATTTTTCCTCTTCTTTTTTGTATGTCCGCTCTGCAAGTGTGGCTTGCAGTGTTGGGGTAATTAGACTTTTTTGCTATGATTAGAAGAACGTCTTCTTGCCAGTAGATATGCAGTAAGGATTCATCTTTGAAGATTAACTGAAGTACTAGACAAATTAAGAACTAATATTTAAATCTCTTTTAGGTGGAAATCTGGACTCAGGAAACCTGGAGAGTTCAGCTCAGCATCTCACACATTTTCTAAACAAATCTTTACCTAGAGCAAAGCTTCTACTTCATATGTTTCTGCTTTAACCTCAGTCAAATTAGGATTTAACTTTAAAATACAAAATGTCACTTCAAACTAGGGTTGTCACGATACTAAACTTTTCAACTCGATACCGATACTAAGGAAAATATTCAATACTCGATACCATTTTCGATACCACAAGAATAAAAACAAAGACTCCAAAATTCTACAGAAATATTTTCATTAATAAATAAAATACAATAAATAAATACAATAAACAATAAGAACAATATTTTGAGGTTGTATGCTGTGCACAATATTAAGCAAGCTTGATAAAAAAAAAACATATGAAATTAAAATAAAGTGTTCCTTACTTGGCTATGCTTTGCACACATAACAATGACACTAGCCAAACCGGTTAAGAAACAAAAATAATTCTCAGCAGCTGCATCTGTTACAGAAAAAGTCTGAAACTGAAAAGTGCGTAGAATTATTCAATCACACAGTGTTCTGACAGTGCATTGTCCTCTATTCTGCACTTTAAATGAATGACTGCTTAGGTGCCACTGGTGGTAGCACTGTCTCGATACTTTTAAAAATGAGTATTGTATCCGGATACAACATTTTGGTATCGATACTTTTTTGAGTATCGATACTTTTGACAACCCTACTTCAAACTGCCATGTACCGTTTTTCTGGTTCTGAAAAATAGAGCTAAACTTAAGGAACATTGATATGAAAGTTGTTGTAACTGTTTTTTTTTTTTTTAGCTTTTTTTCTTGATAGGCTTGTTGATTGGCTGATTAAACACTATTTTCTTTTCTAGTATCAAAATAAGAAATTCCCACAAATTGTGCTTTATAAAGATATCATCTCACAGAATGTTCTTTCGGGTTTTTTCTTTGAGTATTAAAATAAAAAAAATAATATTTGGATATATGCATAAATGCAGGGATACAAAATATCACAATGGCATGTTGTCAGTTTACCATTCCCATAATTTAACTCACCGATAAATAGACAATGTCTTGTTAATAAAAAAATAGAGAATTATGCAGGTCATGAATCTTCCACAAGAGTCATGCTGAAGTTTTGTGGATATTTTTTAAAGTTTTACAAACTATAAAGGAACTATGATATGCAATGACGTTAAATGACAGAAAAACTACTTTTTGTCTGTGAGTAGGATTTGGGGGGGAAACAAATAATTATCAGTTATTGGCCAAAATGTCTATATCGTGCATACCAAATACACAATGAAACTTTTTCAAAACAACTAAATTCAAAACCCACAGCACATATTTTGTCATAAAAAAAAAAATAAAGAAAAAAATATGAGTTCTGGTTAATAAAAACTGAATAGTGTATCTTTAATTAGGGCTAAGCAACTTGCATATTTCAAAGAACACTTCACTTTAAAAGCTCTTAATGTGAAAAGCAAACACAACAATTTAAAAAAAGTGTTTCATACCACACCTCCAAAAGAACATGGTACCAAAAATATATATATATACTATATATATATTACCGTATTTTCACGACTATAAGGCGCACCTAAACGTCTTTTTTTTCCCTCAAAATGTGGGGTGCGCCCTATGGTGCGGTGCGCCCTATCTGCGGACGTTGTTGAGACCACCATGAGTATGTGAGAACCTTAAAGGGGGAAGTGTGGGCGTGGCTTGTGTATAAAAGAACAGGTATGTGCTGTATGCAGAACATTGTTGTCTTAATAACCCTGGAAATGGCAAAGAGACACGCCTATGAAGCCCAGTTTAAACTGAAGGCTATCAGCTACGCAGAGGAACATGGAAATCGAGCAGCTGCGAGAGAATTCAATATAAATGAATCGATGGTTCGCAAGTGGAGGAAGCTGGAAAACGAACTCCGACTGGTGAAGAAGACGCAGCTGAGTTTCCGCGGACATAAGGCGAGGTGGCCCGAGTTGGAGGAAAGACTGGAGCGGTGGATCGTGGAGCAAAGAACGAGTGGGGCCAGCGTTTCAACGGTCACTGTTCGACTAAAAGCAGTAAAGCTGGCGGAAGAAATGAAAATTGAAAATTTTCAAGGAGGTCCATCGTGGTGCTTCCGTTTTATGAAACGGTGCAATTTTTCCATCCGGACCAGGACTACAGTTGCTCAGCGACGTCCGGCGGATTATGATGAAAAGCTGGCGAGCTTCCACTCCTTCTGCAGCAAACACATCGCTGACAAAGTCATCCAGCCAAGCCACATCACCAACATGGACGAGGTGCCGCTCACTTTCGACATCCCGGTGAATCACACGGTGGAGAAGAAGGGGACCAGCACTGTAGCGATACACACAACGGGGTATGAAAAGGCGTCGTTTACTGTTGTGCTTGGCTGCCACGCAAATGGACAGAAACTTCCGCCTATGGTGATTTTTAAAAGAAAGACTTTGCCTAAAGAGACTTTTCCAGCTGGAGTCGTTATTAAGGCGAATGAAAAAGGCTGGATGGACGAGGGGATGATGAAAGCTTGGCTGAGGGAGGTGTATGTAAGGAGACCAGGTGGTTTTTTCCACGCATCTCCATCTCTTTTAATTTGTGATTCCATGCGTGCCCATCTCACAGCCGATGTGAAAAAAAAGGTCAAAGAAATGAACGCTGTGCTTGCTGTTATTCCGGGAGGTCTGACAAAGGAGCTTCAACCGCTCGACATCGGTGTGAACCGGCCGTTCAAAGTAAGGCTGCGAGCGGCGTGGGAGCGATGGATGACAGACGGAGAGCACAGTTTCACTAAAAGTGGAAGGCAGCGGCGGGCAAGTTACGCCACCGTTTGCGGATGGATTGTAGATGCTTGGACTAACGTTTCTGCTGGGACTGTTGTTCGAGCTTTTGCAAAAGCCGGCATCATTTCCAAGGAGCCGACCGGCACGGAAAGTGACTCTGACAGCGAAGAAGAAGGGGAAACTGGCATGTCGGATTTAGCGCAGCTGTTTAATTCCGAAACAGAGGATGAGGACTTTGATGGGTTTGATTAATACTTTGTAATAAATACATGAATAAAACACAATCATACTCAGTTTTGCTCCAGCTCTATTTTTCTACCTAAAAAACTTAATTCAACAGCCGCCTCTGGGCCGCAGCGCATCCTGGCTCACCTCAGAAGGTGTTTTTTCATCTAAATAATCTAAATCTTTTTAAGTGAGAAAGTCCACCGGAAAATTTAATCATTACAGTCAGTTCATTCAGATTATTATCCTGCCTATGTTTTAAGTTAATTTATGCGTCAATAAACGAAGAAGAAGGGGAAACTGGCATGTCGGATTTAGCGCAGCTGTTTAATTCCGAAACAGAGGATGATGACTTTGAGGGGTTTGATTAATACTCTGTAATAAATACATGAATAAAGCACAATCATACTCAGTTTTGCTCCCGCTCTATTTTTCTACCTGAAAACTTAATTCAACACCAGCCTCTGGGCCGCGGCGCATCGGGCTCACCTCAGCAGGTGTTTTTTCATCTAAATAATTTAAATCTTTTTAAGTGAGAAAGTCCACCTGAAAATTTAATCATTGCAGACATTTCATCCAGATTATTATCCTGCCTATTTTTTAAGTTAATTTATGCGTCAATAAACTGTATCAGAGGAGTAATCACAGCCCTGTGTCATCAGCGATGTGTCTCTCACGGCAGGTTCCCAGGTTTGAATAATACTTTGTAATAAATACACCTTGCAGCTTTATTTGCTGTGATCAGTGGGAATAAAGTAGTTTTAATATGTTTTTAAGTGAGAAAATCCACCTGAGAGGACATGTACCTGTATATAAAAAACGCGCCCTATAGTCCGGTGCGCCTTATGTGTGTGTTAAATACAGAAATGGCACACATAACTGAGAGTGCGCCTTTTAGTCCGGTGCGCCTTATGGTCGTGAAAATACGGTACTATGTAAACATGTACCAGTGTAAAAGCATGGTTGGAAATAGTTACGTTTCATGGTGTCTCCATATTAACACACACATTTAAACATGTTTTAAAGATACAACACACCTGATGACTTCATTTTTTTTTTTTTTTTTTGTTAAAACTATTTTTGTCTTTAAAGCATTCAAAAGCTGGCCAGGTGTGAAACAACAGGTGGAGAAGATGAGTTTTGAGTAACTATGCTCAATAGAGGCAAAAAAAAATATTTATTCCTGGCGTCTAATAAAAAGCAGAGTAATGGACATTCCAGCACTTTTAAAACTATACATCTTGGTAGAAGTTGAGATTAGTCAATTACATATGCACAAAAAAATAATTGAAATTTCTGAAAAGCACTTCAATCTAGGAAATGCTTTTATATTACATTCTCTATTTTCCATGAGTTATAAATTGTATGAAGTTGCCAACAGTTATTTTTTATTTGCTAAAATCCATTCTATCCCGTTGTATTTTCAAATCCTAACACATAAAATTCAAAAAAAGGTTTTATTTATTTACAGATATTTGCACATAATCCCTAATGATGTGATGCTTCCAGACCATTTCACTAAACCAAACTTTAACCAATGAAATGTACTTTATTAACCCTTTACTCCATTTAGGACCGTATTTAACTTAAAATTCAATCCCCGCAACAGTTAGACTGATGTGCATCATCACAGCAAACACAATATCCAATATCACAAGATCAAGCATGCAGACAGAGTAGTTCAATAGTTTGCACTTACCACTTTTCACCTCACACTGTACGTTGTCTTCTTCTTTCTACAGATGCAGAGTGTGCATATTTCATCCTAGAAGGAGGAACAGGAAGAGATCTAAAATCTAACTACATTTGGAGTTTGTGTTCTTATCTTTTTTTATTTTTTTTCTTATAACAGGTTTAAAAAACAGGTATTCCATTAACAGGAATAAACAAGCATGCATTAAAGTAACAAATTCTAATGAATAGATCAGAAAAATAATATTAAAAGCTGAAATTTGAGCTCGGCCATATTTGCCAGCCTGAGTGCATAACTTCTAAGTGAGAGTAGATTGAAAATCCTTGGGGTGTGAAAACCAAACAGGCACAATGGAAAGGTTGCCCAGTGGAGGGGGAATTCTATCAGTGTGGACAAGATGAAGATTTGTTACATTTGAAGAGGAGGAATGGGAACTCCGTGACCCCCCACAAACCACTACAATCACCCAAACAGAGAGAAATAAAACACTGTGAAAGAGCTTTGAATGATCCACACTTTGATTTACTGTTATCTGAATACTGACAGGTGAAAAGATATGCTTAATAGCGCTCTAATCTTTCCACAGGTTAAAGAGCTGACATGAGGGGATTATGTTCAAGCACTTACCCTAAGGGAGAAAACTTGCTGTCACTTTTGTCCTTGGCAGGGTGGGATGGGAGTCTGGCGATGCTGCCTCACTAAGGGGAGAAAACCCAAAAATACTTAAGAGTTGGGCCAATTCTGCTGCACAAGATGCCCCCATCCCTCCCATTTGGTGCATTATTGCTATTGCAGACAAGTGTGGGCTAGATGATATGTTGCATAACTATTTTCTGCATGGAGTGAAGGTGAAAGCAATACATTTCAAATCAACAAAGTGCACCTGGATTTCGCTGTGAAGCTTAAAAGGAGAGTCTGTGTGTTTGTGTGTGTTTGGGTGCATGCACTAACAGGCCATACAATGTACTATCTCCAATACACACAAACATACACACTCTTTCTAAAGTTGAAAGGTGCTGTGCCTGCAAGGCTCAAGCTCTCAGCGTAAAGTAAATCACACTGTTAACCTGACACCATTGATTTTCTCATGTACCCCATTCAGCTGCCTGCGTGGAAACACACATGCTAGAGCCCATTAGGATGAAGGGTTCTGTTATTTTAATCACACCAATACAGGAGGAGGGCTCAATATCACAACTGCAGCTACTAATGCATCACATTTACAGTAAAAAAATAATTACTTTGGAGAACTGTAATACAACATGAGGCACCAAATTCACACAATGGACCGGAGGCTCCTCTCTGAGGGGTGTGTGTTTGTGTGCATGTGTTTGCCCCTTTTATTTTTTTCTGAATTTCAATGACCCCTACAGGCAACCAGCGGCTGCTGGATCCTGAGGAATGCGCTCTCTGAACTGTACAAAAAGGCCTCAACTCAAAGGGAACAGATGGAAAACAAAACATGCCAACTGTGATAAGTTCTTATTGTTCTGAGTTTGTGGAAAATGCTGTCCAGATAACTAGGCGACGTTTTGCTGGAAATTGGGCAAGTGACAGATTGAAAGTTTGAGAACAGAATATTAACTTAAAAAAATATATTTTTAAAAGCTTTTAGAAAATAATCTCTTAGCGATTGCTGCAATGAGGTGCGAAGAAACTCCTGCAGAGGATGGTGAGGGGAGCTATTAAGGATCTGGTTTAAAGGGGGGTGCTATTTGTTTTATCCAGTTTGACATTTTGTACCTTTACAGCACCTAACTGCTGAAATGAAGCCATTTCTGCAATGTAGTTCATGTTGACCAAGCCTGATTTCCTTCCCACCAGGGGGGCATTTCATTCCCCTCTAATGATTTAAAATAATTATAGATTAGATACCATATAGAAATCTGACTTCAAAAACTATGACTCAAACTAATTATATCAATCAGAATGTAATTCAATGAGTGTTAAATATTCACCACATATCGTTAAAAGTACCAATATAACTAAACTGATATGCAATAGTTTAAGTAGATGTGTATATTTTATCTCTTTAAAAGACCTGAAATAAAAGCCGTTTGTAACTAAATGATTATAGTTTTAATTATAATTTAACTTAAAACTATTATTAGGTTTTAATCAATAACTTTTATCATTGTTTTTGTTATTTTTGTCAGTTTTGAAATTTAGACTCAGAAACACCATCTTCTGCATTTTGAGGTGCAATGCAGCTTACTTTTTGTCTTTGTTAAAACACTGCTTTTGTCCTTATTATGGGAAGTATGTTTGCTTGACTATAGGTGGAAATATCATAAGGATATTTTTTTAGGTACGATATTATGCTTCATAGGTTAATTCAAACAATCAGAAAGTGTAATGCTATGTTCATATCGCAATTTGAGCAGCAATAAAGCACATTCTGCTTCTTTTTTAATGCCCACCTTAAAACAGTGCAGTGCAGTCAGTTCATCAAAATTACGATCCTATCTTCAAATATAATTTTGCTGTCAGGGGCGAGCAGACCCCACATCAGTGGTGCGCTGTCACTGTGAATCCCCAACAGCAGCTGCCTTAGGCCTGGTTGCCTCTAGGGGGTTTCCCCTACTGTTCGTGGCGGGTGGAAGTAAATGCTAGCATTTTTCATATACGTGGCACAAACTCCAGACACCAGAATAATAAAAGCAAACATATTTTGCCGACAGTTTTCAATTTTTAAATTAATTTAGGCATTGATAAACAGTTTTTGTGGAGTGATCATAGCGCTATGCATCAGCAGTGATGTCTCCCTGCAAGCTCGCAGATCAGCTTCGATGATTGGTTGATGTGGCGCATGGAGCAGCAAAAGTTACATTTTTCAGACAGCAATTGCTGCTTGTGCAATTATTAACATTAGCGTGAAGTTTCTAGTGGAAAAACAGGGCGTAGAACTTGTCATTTTTTTAGTAAAGACCGTACAATGTACGGCCATATGCATTGCTAGCTAAAAGCCGGTTCTATATTCTACAGGTTTTTTTTAATAAAATACACACAGACATATACTGTGTGTGCGTCTTGCCTGTTTCTTCAACCTGGTATCAATTTTGGTGGATGGCTCCTCCACCAAAGTTCTGCTCCTCCTGTTCTAAAGGAATTGGTCATTTTTACCATTGCCACATGCTTGATCAAGATCATCATTTGGCGTAATAAATTAAATGGGAACATACATTATTTAAGCAGTCTCTATGGTTGGGTTCCAAAGGACAGACTTGAACGTATAGTTGAATTGAACCTGCTAGTCTTGTAAAGTTATCGTTTAACAACATGGATTGTAAACTGTAGCTTTGTAAATAAACACAATTATTAAGGCTTGAACTATACGCTTTATTTGTAATGATAAACCAGCAGATTGTGACGTCCTTCAGGTACAAAAATTGAACACCTCTTTCCTAAATTATTTGCATACAGACACCTTTGGGCTGTAAACGGATCATATTTTATTCACAAGAAAATGATTTGGCATTCTGTTAGTCTGTATAACCTCTTCTTGGAGATTTCCAAATATCACACGAGTTTCTTAGCCAAATGTAAAACCATTGGTAAATTCTATCAACTTATAAATATGGCAAATGCATTCAAGTATTCATGAAGGCCTAATAATGCTATAGGCTAATATTTACATAAAGCAGCCGCTCACTAAGTCAAGATAAACTATTTAAGGCTTGGGCTGCAAATACCTCCACACTGCAGAAAAAAAGGAGGGTCCTGCCATAAAAGAGGACATTATGCTAACAAGTCAGATTACTGTACACAATAACTTTATCTTAAAAGTAAATACCATCCTTGGTAGGGTGTTATGGGAAGTCACTGGCAATATTTCTGTGGGGACCAAACGTTCCTTATCAGCATTAGTCGAGCGATTCAGGCCTACCCGAAGAAAGATGAGTCTTCAAACTCATTCTATTCATGGTCAGACGTGTAATTACCCTCAGCTCACAGTCTAGACGTAACCGCTTTCACAGTATTTAAGACCCTCCCTATGCAACGCACGGACGCTGGCTCCCACCGCCGAGCCCTGCGCGTTAAATCTGTGGGCAGATAAATTAGCGAAGAATGCAATAAAATAGACACAATGAGTGGAACTTTATCCTCCCTGCTGCTAAATGAGATTTCTTTGAAATGCAGATCAGTGGCTCTAGATTAGTGAATTTTAGCTGCTGTCAACATCATAACAAAATACAAATGCGATTGTTCGCCGCCGCCTTATCTCCTTGCTTCCATCTGCTGGCTGGTTATTTACTCCCCCCTGATTTACTATGCAGATCTAAATAAGTCGCATCAAAAGGAGGGCTTACTGCACAATGCCTTCTTAAGCTTCTACATCAAGGTATTTGAAAAACCGGTAGTCACATGAAAAGGCTGCCCATCAAAGGCACATCTCTAATGAACTCTCCCGTATCAGAGGGGGCTTGCGGGGCCGTGGCTTTAATACCATCTGTGTGGTGAGAGAGAAGCAGACCTGAGCCAGAACCGCCAAGCTGAGGTGGAGAAAGGCAGGAGAAAGAGGAAGGCCTGAGTTATCAGATGAGATTAAACACACTGCTGAGGCTAGTTATAGGTTTTTTTTCTCCATCCGTTCATCAAACTTTTAAGTGGCAGCTGAGGGAGACACTTCAAGAAACACATTAGCAGAGCAAGATTAGAGCAATTCAAAATGGAAAAGGTGGGCCGAAGGGGATTCTTCCTAAAATCTGGGAAACACTAACCTGGACAGAGCGGAGATTATATGAATATATATATATGAATTGAAAGAATATCAAATAGTGGTAAAAACTATATGTTTCCATTGGTCAATTAATCATGATCAAAGTAAGAAGAAGAGAAAAAGAAAAACCCTCTATGATCAGAGAGCTTTGGCCATCTCCACGGAGCTCTTGCTTTATGCTCGCGCAAAAACCTTTAATTTCATGGTGTATTTGTTGCATTCAGCACACAGCCCGGATTACAAGTGACAATCTCCAGACTTAAACGGAGAAAAATAAACTGCATGGAGGGATCATGATTTGTAACCCCACCGCCACCGCTGCTGCCACCACCACCGACCTGCTTATTATCCCTGCGCCTGGATGAAGGGGAAGACCCCCACTGACGAGCCCCCAGTTTACCAGTGAACAATTAGCCCCGGAGCATGAGCGGGCCTGGCGCTGGCACATGTGGTTAAGAGGCGAGCGCTGCGGGAGGGCGCCAGATGATGAAGGGATGCGGATGGGAGGAGAGAGAGGAGGAGAGAGTGGGGAGTGACGGAGAAGGCGCGTGGCAGGCGCGCGTCTACCAGTGCTACCTCCTAAACTGTACCAAAACTATTCACACCCTTTTTACTTTTTGACATGCGGCAACTCAATTTATTATATTTTAATTAGTTGTTATGTGGTTGATAAAAAAAAAGCAGTACACAAATGTGAAGTAGAGGCTAAATAATCAGAAAAAATAGTGCAATTAAATATTTTTGGAATTACCGTATTTGGGGTGCTAAATTATATAAAGAGTCTTTACATAACTTTATATAGAATGTGTTTTTTAATAATAAAAATAAATATTAGGGATGAAACGGTTTATGAAAACCGTCCGAACCGTTCGGTTCGATTCACGCTTTTTTCTCATAGGCGAAGCGTGTACACTCCAGAGCAGAAGGTGGCGGTATTGCGGCCAAAGCCAACCACCAGTAGTAAACAAGAAGAAGAAG